AAAAAGAATTTCTTCTTGGTCAATATTACAATGAAATCATAATAAAGAAATACAAACTTCATTCAGATTTTTTTTTTTATTTGTTTTCACGATATTATAAAAAAACAACAAATCTTGTTTTGAATAAGATAAACAGGTAAATCATAAATTATATTCGCATCAATCATCATACATATTAATTTTTATTGATTATATAATTTAAATAATTGAATTTGTCAAGAGAAAAAAAAATCTATATTTATCTAGATTATCATGTTTCCTATAAATTACTATTTGCATATTAGAATTTAAAATATAAAGCACTGGAAATGTTCGTCAGTTTTAGCATAATACAAATATTTGACTTAACAAAATTGAATATTTTAATTATTCTTCTTGGATGTTCTATTATATCTAACAATGATTTAAGGCATGCTTTACTATTACTATAAAATTGTTCTCTATTGAGTCTTTGATAACAATGATTATGTAAATTATTTTTTTTTTTTGTTAATTTCTTTTGATTGAAGATTAAGTTTGTGATGTCAACAAACTTATTTCAATACAAAATTTGAAATCTAATCAATTGATAAATAACTTATATAGATAATATTCTGAAATAAAATATTCATGAGAGATTTATTGATATTAAATTTAGTTATTTGATATTTTTTCTTGTATGATTATAAAAGAGGATTTAGATAATCTTATATGATAACTATGATTTTACTTGTAACATTCAGAATGGATCATCAATAGCATTATGATAACAAAATTCAAATATTTCTGCTTTGGTTTAGTTGAATTGTGGAACTTTTTTGTTAGTGATAGGGGCTCACATTTATAGATTTTTTTTTTTCATATAACTTTCAAGTTATATTTTTTGACTTCACTGAAAAAAAGTTTCTTCTGTTGTCAACAAAGAAAAATACATATGAAGCATTTCAAAAATAATTTTCAATTGTCACTTGAGAGAACAATATGTTTCATATGATTGTTGTGTTTTAAACTAACTAGTTTTACAATTTTGCGGTCAATGCATCAATTGAGTATCATTCATAAATACGGATCTGCAGTTTCGATAAAAATACTGCCAGTAAGTCTACTAACACATTGACTACACTGAGTCGGTGTTCAATGAAGTATTGGCACGTTCATACGGTATACATATGTCAAGTAAATCAATGAACATTGATTCAGTTTGAATATTTGATGAATAGTTTATTGAAACTACATCTTCCTATTAATAAAATTCATTTTGAGGTCCTCTTATTATTTTCTTAGATAACAATCAAAACTATCTATAAAACATCACATGCGTATTTTTCTCACTCTATAAAAGGTAAAGCTGCTTTCATTATATTACCAATAATCATTGATCGTAGTATTTTCTTAAAGTATCCATATGCCGAGAAAAAGCTTCGAATAAACTTCTATCACTAACCAAAAGAAATTAGCTCATTTAATTAAATCGATGTAGAAATAATTCATTTTTTTATGATAGCACTATTTATGGTTCGCCCTGTGTCATAACTTTTTTTACAACATATAAGATTAATTAACACTGTGTCATAGAACTTTTAATCAAGGAAAAAATTAAATAGAATGTGAAGCACTGACAAGAAGCCAAACTTCCAATGATAAGAAAAAAAAAGAAAGGTTTCATTCTATAACTTATCGAATAGGTTTAGTGGTCTGTTATCACGAACATCAGATATTTACAAATCAGAATCGTACGTTCTATGACTGTCATACCATTGATTGCAGCAGTTATTAAGCTTCTACAGACGGCAATCATTAACACAAAATGATGTTGGATTTTTTTTTCAGCTATCAAGAACGAGATTAATATGTATGTTTATATTTTCTCTGTACGTGTGATTTCTTACATCTGCATAAATATATGACAAGTTTTTTTTTTTGTTTTATTTAAACCTAGAAATGAAAACTAATCTATCCCATTTACTAGCGATCATCATTTCAATAGAACAAGACATTAAATTTGAGTGTAGTGTTTTTTCTGTCAATTTCGTAAAAGATCATTTATCTAAAGTTACGTTACGCAAAAAAATAACACTTGTTCTTATTTGACACTATCTATATTTTCCTTTTTTTTTGTCTTGCTCTTTTTTTCTTTTTTTTTTGTGCATCTGAGATATAGTAACACTCAAAATACACGCATGTAGTATTGTCGTGCTTATCAGTTTGAAGTTGCTGTCGTTGTATATCGTCTTGTAATCAACACGACACATTTATACATATATATATATATAGTACAGGTAAATAATAAGAACATTACCATCGCTAAGTGTCACTGTCATCAGCATCAAATTTTTTTTTACCTGAATAACGATAACGATAATTACTTTTTGATGATGCTTCCCATAAAACGAAGGTCAAAGCCTTGTTACGATTCTAGAGATTTTTTTTTTTTGAATATAACGATAATTTACTCTTCAAGATCATTAGACATATTATATACAATCATTATCAATCGAGAGCATGAATAAGTAATGTAATCTACGAATTGGTGTCGATTTAATAAAATGATGGTACTATAATATGGATATAAACACTTCACAAGTAATCAATACAAGTATTATTTTAGATATGGTTACAAAACCGCAACAACAAGAACAACAACATCAATATGATTGGTCTATTGATTTAATAGAATCAATTTGGTTTCATATTAGTAATTATTTAACTATTAATGATATTCATCGTTTAAGTCGTACATGTTCTCGTTTATATATATTTTTTACAAGTAATGATTTTTGGTCATATCTTATTCGTAAACAATTTGGTTATATAGTATGGAATCGTTCAATAAAAAATTCTTTATTATTAAATGATGATAATAAAATTTTAAGTTTAAAAAATAAACCATGTTATTCGAAATTAATCTATTTTGAATTAATTAAACGTAAACGTATAGCATTTTCGGATTTTAATCTTTTTGCTTTTGATACAAATCGAAATTATACAACAGTTGTTGATGCATCAAGTTTAAATGGTTATGTACTTTATATAAAAGATTCAATTGAAATTTGTTATTCACTTCATATTGAAACATTATTTGAAAATATTTTACCAGGAAAATATGATGTTATTTGGCGTATGAAACTTAATACACCTTATATGTTAGGTGAAACAGAATTTTTTGCTGTTGCCGAACAAGTTAATCCTGGTCGAGCAGCATATATGCGATGGACACAAGATGATTTTCTATCGATGTATAGATGTTTTTATTGTGATATAACAAAAACAAATCTATGGTTTTATCAAACAATTGGAATTCTAGAAGTTAATGGAAATAAACCATGTAATGTTTTTGTATCTATGACAAATCATGACTCAATACATGCAAAACATGGAGTATATTTAGATTATGTAGAATTAAAACTTTGCCTAGAATAGAATAAAATGACAAAAAAAAATTCTTTTTTTTTTCCTTCGCTATTTACTATGTATGTTATTATTGCTTATATAAGAAAAATATTTTGATTCTTTTAATGTATCGAAATGTGTCCTTTTTCTCTGTCTCGAATATGACCTTGCTTACTTGCTTGTTTATTTTTTTCGTTATTGATTGCATAGAAAGAAAAAAGAAAGATTTATTGAAATATTGAGTGAAAAGATTAATTATCAGATGAAGAATAATTATTCTTGAAAGAAATATATTAATTTTTCGTATCATTTATTACAATATGGACAATATTATTAATTAGTTGTAGTTAATCATAATTTGACATGTTTTTTTTTTTAACCATAGAACGAAATTAATTAATCCTATGTGGAATAAGAACATAAATTTTTCATATTATTGCCTTCTATTTTTCTAATTCACTATGGATGAATGACTACGTTATTAAACACGTATTTACAAGATACGGTGTGCAAACATCAATATCGCCAGCCTTGGAATGACCCTGAACAAGTCACTAACTACTATTTGTCTCTTATCAACCGTTCGACAGCATGTTGACTAGGTTGTGACAAACACCTACTCTTGTGATTAGTGTGTAGCTGAAGTAATTGGTCACAAGAACTTTTCCTTAGTCTAGTCTTCTGTTGAATGCTAGAACTAGTCATAATTGTAGAGAAAATTTTCAGTTATTAGATCCACCGTTTCACTTTACACTGCAAGCTAGCTGAAAAGCAGCGGGTATTCTTTCTATTTCTATTTTGTAATGAGTAATCTATTATGAAATATTATTTTAACATTATATCATATACAACTATCTACTAGATGTTATGTAATAATGTTTATTATTGGAACGATTACATTTATTGTATTAGACAAAAATATAGATATTATTTATTTGTTTAATTGTAATAATAAAGTTTGTCTATGAATATACATTAAAGAATAGATGATTGTCTCGAAAGAGTATCACATAGTGTGATTCATATATCAAGGTTTATTTTTTTTTCTGAGATAATCATGTTTCAAGTTATCTGAATTTCTTTCTTCGATATGTACATATCATATTTGAATACAAAATCTAACAATGTAATTATATTTTATTTGTCTCTATTATTCAAAACAAATATGTGAAATCGCATGTGATACTTGTATAAATGCAATTATTTCAGTCGAGTACGGTCTATTTAGATAAGACACTCTCGAAATTCTTATAATCAAATTTTCATGAAAGTTTCTTTTTATCTTTTTAATGTCTTTTATTTTATTATTATTCATTTTGACAAATATTTTCAAATATATAAATAACTAAGTTATATTTATTTTATTTCAAGATCTTTTATTTTGAATATGAACGAATTTTTACTTAAACAAAATAACTGTTTGTTATTTCCATTAGAAAAAAAATGACTCTTGTTTTTTTTTTTTTGTAAATCATGGTGAAGAACATTTTAAACAATAATAATAATAATAATAATAAAGAAAGCAATGAACGACATAAATCTTTCTGCTTGTTTTTTTTTATGTACAATACTTAGATGAAAAAGAAAACAAACGAAAAACAAAAAAAAAAAGAATGAAATAATCAATGAAATCAATACATTTGTTGTTGTTGTTGCTGTTGTTGTTGATATTGTTGAAAATAAGCAAAGAAATTTGCTGGTGGCATCATCATTTGAGGTGGTGGTGGTAATACTGGTGGCATCGTACCTAATGCTGGTGGTGGTTGACTAAAACCACTTGTGACCATACTAGTTGGTGGACCTTGTGGAATAGTACTTGCTGCAACAGCAGCTGCAGCTGTTGGTGGTGGTAAACTAAATCCTGATGTTGGCATTGGTGGTGGTGGTTGACTAAAACCTGATGGAACCATAGGTGTTGTTGCTGCCGTTGGTGTTGAATTCATTGACATTGCATTTGTTGTTGTTGATGATGATGGTAGTGGTGGTGGTGGTAATGGGGGTTGTGTTGTTCGAATATTTGTTGTTGTTGATGTACGCATTGGTGATGGTGCAATAACATTATCATTATAATGTATTTTAAACCAATTAAGTGTTTCAGTTAATGTTGGAAACATTTTCGAACGAAATCTTATACCATTTGGTGTGACAGTAAAATATTCATGTATTGGTTTACGTACAGGCATATATGATAAAAGAAATTTAGTTGGATATTCACGTGATATTGTTATATAATAACGTATACGTGTTGGATTACGTCGTTTATCTTCAATTAAACGATTATTAAGAATTCGTTGTGCTTCAGTTGATAATGGTGGTGGTCCTGATGTTGTTGTTGTTGTTGTAGTTGTTGTTGTTGTTTGTGCTGGTGTTGCTGAACCGGATGGTGTAGCTGATGGTAATGGTTGAGATAGATTACAATAATATTTATGTGTAATTATATCTGAAACTGTATTTGCCATTGGTTTAATATAACGTGCAAGAATTTCATCAAGATCTTCAAATTCTTCTGTTTCTTGTGTACGTGGATCAATAATTAATAAACGTTTACCCAATGAAAATTGATTTGTTTTAGATTTTTCAATAACATCAATATTATGTAAAACTCCATCAACTAATTTCCATGTTATTGTTAAATGATCGGATGCTTTTGAACTTGGTCTTATAATTGCATCACCTAAATCTTTTGTTGAAAGTATTCGTTCACATTCAGTATAATTTATATTCATAAATGATGGATGTGCAATAACACGTTTAATATAACTACGTTCTTTAGCTGCTTGTTTTAATTGTTTTTCTTTTTCAGCTTCAGCTAAATCTTCAGTTTCAAGTGCACGATCATAATATGCATCTTTCATTGGTCGCCATCGTTCATTATCATCACGTAAATCACTTGATTTAGATGTTAAATCAACACTAAATTGTTTTATATTTATATATATTATACGTGCATAAATAACTTGATGTAATTTAACACGTTCTAATGGATTTGTGATTGGTGAATCAGATAAATCACGAAGTTTTATAAAACCTGTACAACCATTATCCAAACGGACACGTACACCGACTAAAAGAAAAAAAAATAAAAACATTTATTTATTTTTTTTATTTTTTTAACTGAAACATGATCTTAAAGTAACTATAGGTTTTTGTTGAAAAACCAACGTAAATTTTAAATAAAGGTTCGAAAAATTAAATCAATCAAAATTTTTTTATGATTTATCAAATGAACAGATTCTCTTGTTAATTAGATTTGATGAATTGTTGAAATACTGTCTTTTCTCTGTCCAAGAACTAGATTGAACAAGCAGGACTAAGATTACTTTACTGTTTTGATTTCGACAAACTTTAATTTCAATGAAGAATAAACAATCTTATTATTTATTACTTACTTGGTGTTCCTTTACATCGATTTTCTGAATCAAAATGATTCCATGCCTAATAAACGAAACGAAAAAGATATTTAAATTTAAATCTTTAATTTTTTTGGGAGGGGGGGGGGGATGGAGAAGGATCTTACTTCTTTAACATTATGAAATCGTTCCGTATGACATAAAGGACATTTTAACATTCCAGTTAATTCATCTTTTTCTGGTTGTGCAGCTTCACGTTGTTGTGGTGTTGGTTTTTTTCTTGCAAAATCAAATACTTGACATTGTATTAATTTACCCAAATGAAATGTTGCTGGTGTTTCTTTTGTTATAAAATGAAATAAATCAACTTCACTTGGTGGTTCATAACGTACACGTATATCTTTATAACGATGTGTTAATTCTGAACGTATATCATATAATGTTATAGATTGATCACCATACATTGTATTTTTTAATTCAACAGCAAATGCATCTAAATCTAAATCTTTTAAACGTTCTGAATGTTCAAAAATTTCTTCTAATGCAGCACTTGGTTCCATTTCTGATGATTCTTCAATATCTAATGCATCAACAGCCATTTTACGTGCCCAATCATATGCTTCAGGATGTATACGTGTACTATCTAATATTTCAATATATGATTGACTTTCTTTCATTGCATCTGTATTTATTTTAATAAAACCAGCACAATTTGAAAAAACACATTTACCCATATTATAATTAACAACAAGAAATGTACGATTTTCTAATTTTGAATTATTTTGTTTAAAATATTTAATTAAATGTGTTGCTTTACGTGGACCAAGACCACAAACAAATTGTAAAACATTTGATGTATGTAAATATGCTATACAACGATTTAAATCAACACCAACTTCATTTGTACGTGTTATAAATACTTGTTCTAATGCTATTAATAATTGTTCACGATCAATTAAATCTTGTAATGGATGATATTTAATTAATAATATTTCTTTATCATAATTAAATAATTGTGAAAATTCTAATAATGGATCTTGTAAACGACGTGCTTGTGATATAGCTTGACGTAATTTTATTGGATAATCTCGAAAATCTAATTCACCTTTACGAGATTGTGCATAAATTTTTGATAATTCTGTATCAACTAAAAGAACTTTTATTGGTTCAGGTAAATTTTGAAAATGTTCTTCATCATGTTGTAATTGTGTTACCATATCATCAAGACATGTACGTAAATATAATGCATCACGACTTTCAACTCCTAACAAAAAAAAAAATAAAAATAAAAATGCAAATTTATAGAATGAAAATATATATATATAGAGAATATTTTAATTTTTTTAAATGAACAAAATTTTTATCTAATTAGTATAAAGATGAGTGTTTAAAAAAAAGAAAAGAAAATCTAATTGTAATTTATTTTACCTATACAAATAACATCAGGTACACGTTCTTTAATAAATTTTCTAAGAATATCTAAATCTTTATTTTTTTTTAAACGATTATCTGCTGAATAATTTTCTCTTAACATTAAATTTGGTAAACGTATAAAATCTAAAACTTGTCCTTCAGAACTTAATATAACAGCAAATGATACATCATCAGGATCAGTTGAATAAGCAATAGATAAAACTCGTACACCAGCATCTGATATACTTGTTACATTTTCATCATTTGATAAACGATATGGTGCTATTTTAATCCAATTATTTAAACAAGTTGAACATTGTTTAATAACATATTGTCGTGATTCATCAAGTAAAATTTCTTCTAATTCACGTTGAAATTTAGGATAAAGAAATTTATTTAACATTAAATCAATACACATAGCACGAATTTTATTCCATTCAAGTACATTATCAGAATATTCATCACGTGTATATGAACGTTTTATTTCATCAGCATATGTAGTTCCATTATTTTTATTATCAATAATATATTCAATTTTCATAAAACCATCTTTAACACTTTGATATAAATTAAGATATTGATCTTTTGTAAATGTATTAACAGGTTTTTCAAGTAGATATTTCATTGTATAACATGGATGATCTTCTGTTATTGATTGTATACCAAGACGTGTTGGTCGAGCATTTATCATACAACGTGACATATATTCACGACGAATAACATAACGTACTAAAGGATCAAGAGATAATTGACGTGCATGCATAAATATTGCGGCCTAGGAAAAAAAAATATTTATGATACATATTTTCAAATTCTAATAAGAAATTTCTTAGAATTTTAATATGTTTCATTTTTCGATGGTGTGTGTGTGTGTATAGTCTATCGGCTAAGTTTCGAATATGAAAATATTGGACCTGAAAAATGTATCGCATATCTTCGGGACGATTATCCAATATTGATTGGAAAATTTTATTGAGAACATCAAAGTATGGTTTGACCGGATCTTAAACTATTGAATTCCACGAGTTCTAGTGGTGTAAGAAATAGTTTAAAATTTTTATTTTTAAGTTTGCGACTAAAAATTTTTTTCCTTGCATGTCTGTAATTACAATACATGACTACCTAATATCTTATAAATGTTCGCAGGGGAAACTCTATAATTAATTAATTAAAGCACTTTCAAAATTCGAACTAAATGCCTCATGTAGATCATAATGAACTATGAACGTGGTCTCCGTTAGAAATACTAAATAAATAATTTTTACTTGTAGAACAGCTTGTGTTGTTGGAAATTGTTTACAAATGAATTCTTCACATGTAGCTGTTGGTCCAATAGGATATTGATCAATTTCATTTTTTTGATAATTTTCATGAAGATTTTCACCTAATTTATCTGGTTTTAAACCAAATTTTTTAATTAAACCTTCTAAATGTGCTTGTTTACAAACACTATAATAATCTGTTTTTGAAAATGGTTTTGATTTAATATTTAATTGTGTACGTATTTGTTCAACTAATGTTTCTTCATCAAGTTCATCTTCATCATCAATTGTTGGTAATGGTTGTTCATCATTTTCATTTTGTTCCATATTTGTTATTAATTTTTTACGTTTTTCACGTTCTTCACGATATTCAAGAATTTTTTCACGTAAACGCATATTTGGTATATCGTCATTATAATAAACATGAAATTGTTCACGTAAATCAGCTATTTCTTCAAGTGTTTGAGCACGCATTAAACGTTCTTTATCAATATCACAATCAGTTAATAATCTTGTTGTTAATGTATCTTCATTTGTATCACCTAATTGTTCATATTGATAATTACGATATTTATCCATACGTTCAAACATTGACATTAATTTATCTTTTTGAGATTTAAATATCATCCACTAGAAAGAGCAAACCAAAAGAAATACAATTATTATATAAACAATTACATGAATAGATTTATTAGTAGAAAACTAATCGACTAGGGAATTCATATTGTTAATTAGATTATTTGAAAATATAGATATGAGTCTTGTTCAATTGAAAATTAATTATAATAAACTTCTATCAGGTCATTTTTTTATGTATTTATTGAGCGAAGAGAATAGTATGAATAATTTTTCTAGAATTGTTTGATTTTGCATATGAACTTTTAACTAACACGATCTTCATACAAAGAAGTTTATTAGAACTTTTAGTTAATCAAAACGTATTTCAATGCCATTTTAGAATAAATTCTTATTGAGGAAAGATAGAAGTTCGCATTTTTTTTTTATGATTTTCTATTTGAGCAAAAACATAACAGTAGAAATTACAACTAATAATTCTATATTATCACATTTGTCTAAATACACATCATCCTCTGAAATGACTCATTTTTCAAAAAATTATTCATGATAAGTAGATATCCAGCTTTCTAGACAAAAACTAATAACCTAATTACGAAAGAACTACATTAATCATAAATGTCATTCAAGATCAATGAGTCATTTATGACTTATTCTTCATCTTCACAGTGCAGAGATGGAACCGGTCTACTTTTTTCGGACCGATACCGATTTACCGGCGAAAACCGATCAGACCGACCTATCGACCAAAACCAATTTATCGGGCAAAGTCGGTCTGCCTGGTCTACCAGTACTAAACAGAATGCTGATGATAAGTCAGCTTATCAGAGAAAATCCGACCTACCGACAAATATCGATCTACAGACAACAGGCTGAGGCTTAAAGTGAAACCTTGTTTTATAGTGAACTCTCTTGCGGGCTACCTTCGTACTTTCACGCATACTGGCATAACGTTTCACCGTCGATAACAATAGTCTCATTGAGGAACATTTTAGAAACTGTTTGTTAAATCAATTTCTGTGTGATCAGTGGGACTAGCCTTGGTGTCAGTTGTTTTTTCATGTGAGTACTATCATAAAGGAGGAAAGTGAAAAATACAGACCGGTATAAGCCGGTTACCGATACTGATTCCATCTCTGCCGCAGTGACATGACTCCAATGAAATTTAACCATATCAACATCTGCATAGGTTATTCCAATTGTTAACTCACCACAAATTCTACTAGATTAGGTAGAGAAATCATTACAGTGTACAAACGTCAATTATTATTCTCAACCTAGATTTTTTTTTCTCATTTCATATTTAGATAATTATTTAAGATGTATCATGACGACTCAAGCCCATCAAGTTGGTAGCGGATCCGATGAGCTCAAGTCGTCTGAGAAATATATAGAATGTGGTTTCCACTGAATACAAAAAGTATGATGTATCGTTGTGACATCTATACAACTTCGATTAGAAAATTTCATGAAGAATATCAAAGTACGTTTCGATTGAATCCCAGACTCAAAAATTAGAGATTCAACGAACTTCTAGTAACGACATTATTCACAAACATTCGATTGCAAAAGAAAAAAATATTTTTTTTTTATCGAATGATAATCAATACCTTTTCATCCCATTGCCAAATTTTCCATAGATCAGCCATTTTAAGATCGGGTTCGATGTGTTCTTTACGGTAAAATCCAATAAATGGTACCTGAAAAACAAAAATCAATCATTTAATAGATATCAATTTATAATTGAAAAAAAAGTATTCATACTTCAAATGAATCATTTCTTATATAATTAAGTGCATTTTTAATTTTTTTCTTTACTTGAAGATTTTTTGCTTCATCTTCTTCAAGTGGCTTAAAAGAGAACAAAGTTAAAAAATTATACTAAAAAACTATTCTATATTTTACTTGATTAGATATTGTTGGTTTAAGAAATGCTCCATTATAAATCCAATCAGCTTCTTCTTCAAGTTCATCTTCTTTAGCTTCAGTTACTGGAATATTTCTTAACTACAAAATAAGATTTAGTTTGTTTTGTTTTCAATATAAGAATATTATTGATTTGTAAATCTTACTTGAAATCGTTCTGGTTTATCAATTCGTCTTATATTAATATCTGATTCTGTTAAATAACCACGTTGTAATTCTTCGGGTTCATATAATTCTTCAACTTTTTGTTTTCGACGTTGTGCTCGAAGTTTTCGTTGTCGTTTTGCTGTTATTGTTTCCTAAAAAAATTTTTAGTCTCTCTTTTTTTTTTGTTTTTAAATATTTAATATTTTACATCTTCAATTGGATTTCCATCTTCATCAAGTTGAGGTTCAACATCTACTTCTTCATCTTCTTCTTCTTCTTCTTCATCATCTTCTAAATCTTCATCTTCCATATCATCATCATTTAAATCATCAAATTTCATATCATCAAAGTTAAAATCATCTCCAAATATAGCTTGTGCTTCAGCAATATTTCTGTTCGCAAAAAAAAAACAAAATAATCAACTAAGTCTTATTATGTTTTTTTTCTTACGGTGCATTTTCATTTCTACGATGAGATATTTTTGGCATTGGTCGATTTTCATCATCAACAATGAAATCATCTAACAAAAAGAAAATTTAAATAAAAAGTTGTTAGTACTAATCTCTTAAAGGATTAAAAGATCAAACACAGCGTAACTACTATTTAGGATTGAATATTTTTACTCGGTTATACTTCAATATTCCTTTTAGATAGTGTTTTAGAAAACAAAAAATGAATATATTCATTTACCCTCATCGTCATAATCGTCATTTAGGACACCATCGTCATCATTATGTGTAATACTTTGATCCTAAAAGAAAATTTCTGATTATTTGTTTGTTTATATTTTTTACGTTTGATCTTACATCATGTTCATCTCGTCGTCCACGACTAGATGATGTTGGTTCATATTGAGATGCTTGATGTTGTACATCTTCATCATCATCATCTTCACCTTCGATTTGTACACGTTTTGGCTAGAAGAAAAAAAAAACGAAGTTTTTTTAAGAATTTAGTAAAAACAAAAAAAAAATTTTACTTTTATTCGTTTATTTGTATTTTCAGCAATTAGTCTTAAATGAATATAAAAGAATATATATATATATACAAAAGAAAAATTTTGATTTATTTTTTTTTTGTTGTTACTGTAAATCTTCATCATCAATGTCATCATCTTCTTCTGATTCACCGGAGCCTGATTGATCATTTTCATTGTCATCGTCTTCTTCCTAGAGAATTGAAAAAAAAACGATGATTTTATAAAAATTGGCTTTTTTTTGTGTGCATCTTACATCCTCTCCTGGTTCAGCAATAAAACCTTGTAATTCTTTTGCAACTTGTTCATCCATTGCTTCATCTTCTTCGTCATCATCATCATCGCTCACTAAATGGAAAGAAAAAAAGAAGAGAAAAACATGAAAATAAATTTTTAAAGAAATTCAACTGGGTAAATTTACTTGGTCGATTAGATTTAAGTTTTTTCATAGCTGCTCGTGTTTTTTTTTCTGTATCACTTTCTTCAGCTGAATCTTCTTCTGCTTGTTCGTCGACAAATTCATTTCGATGACGTTTTTTCGGCATTTTGCTTATAATATCAAATTTAGATTAAGATAGAAAAATCTAAAACAATAAAAAAAATCCTTCTTGAGAAAAAAAAAACATGTAATATCAACTCACTCAAACTATGAATTTAAAGAAATCTGAAATGAAATGAAAAACACAAGACTTTATATAGAAGAGTGAAAATAGGTTAAATAGTGCCTACAAAATATTCATCAATCAGAAGTTTTATTATGACGGTTATTTATTATTTTTCGAGATAGAATACAATGAAGTATTATCTTGTTATTGGTTAATTATTTACGAAAAAAGATTTCAATAGAGGTCGTTCAAATACAAGTGATAAAATATCTGATGAAATGACTCATGACAGCTAAAATTTTCAAAATCACTATGAGTTGCACAAATAGAAGATTTCAACTTGAAAAATATATACGTCATAAAAATTTCTCTGACAGCATGATATTAGTAGTATATTGCAGAGATCTGTGAGTAAAGCCTCGCGTTCTTGCGCATGCTGATGCAATGTTGAGAGAAAACTGATGTGGAACGTGTGCTATGACATCCTATGGTTTGGAACGTTCTGAAAAAACAATGAAGAAATGAATTAGCTATGAGACGAGAGTGACCCGTGGATATATCAATTGTTTAATTCTCATATTCTTTATTGTTAATTTAGCTATTGTAGCTCTTCGATGTTATTTGGAAATTCATTTACAGTTTTTTTGTATTTGTTATAAAGAATTGGAAGATTTTCTTTTTGTAAGTCAGAGTATACAAAAGAAATTTCCAATTAGAAATAGAATTGAAATTGTTAGCATAGTGATCGATTACATTAAAATGAAATGTGTCACTAGAACGTGTTGCAGACTCTACTATGAAAATGTAGTACATTATAGATGCGGTGTCATATAACTGGTATGCATTCGTTAATCGTTTTGTTCTGCATGCATAGCTACATATAATTGACGTAGTCAAATATACCCAGGTCATTCAATCCGACCTGTAGATCCTACCGAAAACTGTCGGATTCGATATCGGATTACACCGTAATCCGTCTGATTCCCAACTAAATCCGATCGGAACTCAACCGTATTTCACAGGATTCCTAACTAACGGATTACCCAGGTCAAGTTCGGTACGTCGGAACCGATCGGCTCCGTTGAATTCCGATGATTTCTTTAGTACAGGATTCCGGTCCAGATTTCGTCGGACCAGTTCCGATCAGTTTCCATCGGCTCCGTCGATTTCCGACGAATTCCTGGTCGAAATTTTGCGGAACTTAACGGAATTTTTCCGGCGGAAGCTGGACCGGAATCCTGTAGTCAAGAAATCGTCGGAAGTCAACGGAGCCGACCGAAAACCAACGAAATCTATAGGATCCGCTGCCGGAAAACACAGGAAACAAACGGTTCCGACGATCGGAACAGTGGACCTGGGTTAGAATTTCATCAAATTTTCCTCAAGATTTCTAAAGATTTCATCAAGGTTTATAAGGATTTCTCAAGGATTTCATCCGGATTTTAAAAGATTCCCTAAGGATTTTACCAAGATTTCTAAAGCTTTTTCAAGGATTTCATCGAGATTTCTGAAGATTTTCCAATGATTTCATCAAGATTTATAAAGATTTCTCCAGCATTTTATCAAGATATCTGAAGATTTCGCAATAATTTCATCAAGATTTCTAAAGATTTCGCAAGGATTTCATCAAGATTTCTAACTATTTCTCAAGACTTTCATTGAGATTTCTGAAGATTTTGCAATAATTTCATCAAGATTTCTAAAGATTTCGCAAGGATTTCATCAAGATTTCTAA